CCCTTTTAACAATTCTCATCTGTCCTTGCGTCTAGCCCTGAACCTAGCTGTCTCAATCACCCACGTTGGGTAGTCTCTTGCCCTCAGCAGCATACTAAGTCTTTCTGACTCCATCTCAAAGTCATTTTTATTAGTGGAGTTCCTTTTAATCTTTAGAAATTGCTCATAAGGTAAGTTCTCTTTAAGATGTTGAACATGGTGTGATTTAAAGTGAAGATAGGAATTCCTGTCAGTGCTTTTATTAAAGGGATGAATTGCCAACTGATTATTCTGGACAAATACAGTCGTGTCTAAAAAATTAATTTCTATAGTATCCATTTTGTGTACAAATTTAATAGAACAATGGACAGTGCTGAGCCACTCTACGAATCGATCTACAATACTAGCATCATTAATTAACATGAACAAATTGTCAATGTACCTTTTAAAGAAAATAATGTGGTCAAAAAAGGGATTGTTGGTATTGTTGAGGATCCATTTCTCTTCAAAATCCCCCATAAATAAATTAGCCACACTGGGCACAAACGCACTCCCCATGGCTACCCCCTTAGTTTGAAAATAAATATCGTCACCAAATCGAAAAAAACTTTTCAAAAATAATATCAACTAAATCTAACAAAAAATGTGTGTGGGGGAGGAGGGTTTCCCATTTTTCCAATGTTTTAAGTAGACACATTCTTGCCTTATCATGAGGAATATTGGTATACAGGGAGCTAACATCTAATGTTACTAAAGCCGTTCCCACCAGTGCTGAACGACCCTCTACTTTGGTTATGAAGTCGCAAGTGTCTTTGATGTATGTAGGAAGGGTTCCCACAAAAGGTTGCAGAAATGAATCTACATATTTTGATAAGGGTTCAAATACTGAATTAGTCCCAGATACAATGGGACCCTGTTTGTGTATTTTAGGTAATGTGTAGAATATTGGGACCCTAGAATATTTTTTCTGAAGGTATTCTGCTGTGTGATTAGTCCCAGATACAATGGAACCCTGTTTGTGTATTTTAGGTAATGTGTAGAATATTGGGACCCTAGAATACTTTTTCTGAAGGTATTTTGCTGTGTGATTGGAGATGTAGTCAAAAAGTAACCCTTCCCTTACTGTTATTTGTATCAATTTACAGACCTCTCCCATTGGGTCATGGTCTACTCGTGTGTAAAAATTCCCTGTTCTCTAACTGTCTTCTAGCTTCCTGGACATAATCTTCCTGTTCCTGTATAACTAATGCCCCTCCTTTGTCTGCATTTTTTATGATAACATCCTTCAATCCCGATATCTCATTTAGGCTTTCCCACTGCGACCTAGTTAAGTTGTATCTCAAAGGGAAGTTACATTGTTCTAACACCTTAATATCTTCTAATACTCTCCTTTCAAATACCATGATAGAAGGATGGTAGATCTGCGGAATGAACTGGGATTTATTTTTAAATAGATTAACATCAGCAAAATTTGAACCTTCGAAAAAACATTTTAATTTCAAGGTCCGAATCAATTTAAAGACATCTACCCTCACCTGGAATGCATTGTATTTCGGCATAAACACAAACCCTGGTCCAAAATTCAAAGTGTCCAAAACATCTTTAGAGAATGTCCTAGTTGTTAAGTTAACTACTAATTCTTCTTCCTTCCTCGTTTGGACTGATTGTATGGGATGTACTCCCTTGCCCTGTTCTTTACTCTTCTGTCTAAAAAAGGTCTTCCTGTGGAACTCTCCTCCCCTGATGTTGTAGCTGAATCCTCTGCCTCAGTGATTTCCATTTCTGACACAGGGTCCCGAGAATCTGCCCATGATACCCGTTTAACGGGATTCGCAGTTGGTGAACACCACTTGTAAGCCCTATTAAGGGCATAGTCTCTGCTATCTCTATCAAATTTCTTAAGCTTGGTTTCCCTGGTTCCAGCTTTGTATGCTTTTAATTCTTCTTCCAATTCCTTAAATTTACTCCCAAAAGCTTCGGGACTAAAGGATTCCTTCAATTTGTCCTCCATTACTTTGATTTCTTTTTTCATTACCTCAGCCTCTTGTGTGGGTTCATCAATAATTAGGAGCATGAGATCGTAAGAACATTTGTTGAGGATTGCAATCCATTTATTTTTAAACTCCTCCTTGTGTAGGAACATGGCTGGACCCTTTTGTAACCGTAGTTCTCTAGGGATTAAATCTGAATTACAGTATTCAGTAAGTGACGCTGCATGCAGTGTCATTCTGATTTCTTTTTTGCTAAGAAAATCTAATTGTGTCCAATCTGATGGACTCCTATCCCCTCTTTTTAGGCCAGGTATGTTTCCCAAAATCCTACATCTTTCCTCCTCTGAAAACGTGAACCTATAATTTAATGTAGACATAATGACCCCAATATACAATCACCAAAAAGATAGAAGGGGGTTGCAGTATAGTAAAGATATAAACAGAATGGAACTACTGCAAACTGTGCATTACAAGCTTATATTAAGTACAATTACAGAATAACCGATCATATATTCAATAATATGTTTTACAGGTCACTGAAACAATTGATGTCAATGATGGACGAACTCCCCCGGAGTTGATATTCGTTTTGAGGTGTCTTTTTCATACATCAAACCTCCTAGCAAGAAATGTACCAATCAATCATTCCAGGAAACTATACCCAGCAAGAATCCAATACAATTTACAAATATAAATACACAAGTGGAGACCCGCAACAAAATGTTGCGTACTGTGTTCTAGTTTATTTTAAGTTGTAATTGTGGTGTAGGATGTGATGCCCATTCATCACAGAACATGGAAGTGTCCTGTGTCTTGTTATCACTGCTTAATTGTGCAGTGGGTTTAGGAAGGTTAAGTAATGTTTTCCCTTTTTTTTTCTCCTTCCCTCCCTGATTCCCTTGCTTAGCTCTACACAGGCTTCTGCTTCGAGGACTCGGGAGTCCCACCCTGTATCTGTTGTGGTAGCCAGGGTGTGCTCCGTGTGTCCCCGTGAGGCGGGCGTCATTCTTCTGTGGGCTCCCATTGTTTCCTGGCTGTGGCTTAGTGAGCCCTGGACCTGCCACCCTCTTGTGAAGAGCCGCACTCAGTACAGTACTAAAAATTTATGCAAAACAGTAATGCATTTATTTATTTATTGCTTGTTGGTTTGCTATAGTTCTGAATGTTTTAATTGTAAGTCCACTGTTCTGTGAATGACTGCATTTCTCAATTGTTTGTATGTTTTGTTACTGCTGTTAGTAATTAAAGGATTTCTTTGAATACAACGTTAGATGTAAATATTCCATCTTCATCTTTAAAATATCCCTGGATAGGAGTGCTGCAAACATGGATTTTTAAGTTTTCAAAACATTTCACTCTGGACATTGCTACATATAATTGTCCATGTGTGAAGACGGGTTCCTTTAAATAGATACCTACCTTTTCCAATGTTTGGCCTTGGCTTTTATTAATTGTAAAATGAAAGGAAAAGTTGTATCTGTTGGTATTAAATCAATTCTTGGGAGTATAACAGTTTGGCCAGCTGCTTCACCTGTTATTATTTTTGCATACAAACTATGTGTATACATATTCAGAATTTGTAGATGGGTACCATTCATCAATCCATGCTTAGGATTTAAGTTTCTCAGCAGAATTACTATTGCTCCTGTTTTCAGTGTTAGTTTATGTGGAGGCAATCCAGAACTATCCAATGAGTTTAAAAATTCTGTGGGGTATTTCATTATTTCACCAATGTCATCGGACTGTACTTCATCTACGCTATAGTACGTAATACTTTCTCCATCCATTTTAGAAATTATAGTGCTGTTAATATAATCACAGTGCTCATTTTTTGGAGCTAGGATGACAGACATTGAATGCTGAAGAAAGGATTCTGCAGTGAAAGTTGTTCCATAGACTGCTGTTATAATGTCAGATGTTAAACACTGAGGTGGTAATCTTATTGCACAGTTTGATATGGCCCTTTGCACTGGGATGGTTCCATTTCCCACTTGTAAGACATATTGTGCAAAGCTGTTATCAGATTGTGCTCTCATATTTGTTTTTAATGTGAGTATTTTGAATAGTGGCCAAAGTGAGCTTGTCTTCAAACAGTTCTGTATTGTTGCCTGGCTTGATGAGTGTGGTACAACTGGTAAAATTTGTCTGAAATCTCCACCTAATAGGATGACTTTTCCTCCAAAGGGTATGTCGTTATGCATGAGATCTGCCAGCAATCTGTGTATTACCATAAGAGCATTTGCTGATATCATAGATGCCTCATCCCATAGAATTAGAGATGCTTCCTTAATATATTTGGCTTCTTTACTGCTAGGAGATAGAGCTGATACAGAATTCTCCGTTAGAATCAATGGTAATTTAAACTGACTATGTGCTGTTTGTCCTCCTTTAAGTAACATGGCAGCTATTCCTGTCCAAGCGACAGCAATGGAAGTTTTACCTTGGCCCAATAAGATATGTATCAATGTTTGATATATAAATGTTTTCCCACATCCTCCTGGTGCATCTAAAAAGTATGTTTTCGGTGTTTGTTGGGTACTCTGTGTAACACTTAATATTTCCTCAATTATTAGTATTTGTTCTGGTGTAGCTTGTCCTTTCATGGTCAATCCAATCTGTAGTTGGGCTTGTTGATATGTTTTGCTGTCTTATAGCAATGGTGTATCTTCTGCGATGGGTAATCCTATGTGTTCATTTCTTCAATATGTCAGTTATTTCTTGAAGAGCAAGCTTGTAACTGTCTTTTTCAGAGGGGTTTCTAGATAGATCTTCAGAGAGGTCAGTTTTGAATTTTTCCCACAGGTGTGAAGCGTTGAATGGCTGTTGAAGTGCGCAGATGTACGCAAACATGTGTCGTAGTTGTAATGGCATTTTAAAGGTTGCTGCCTCTGCAATAGTCTTCTCCTATTCACTGTCTTCTTCAAGAAGACCTCTTCGGATTGCCGTGTCCCTAAACGTTGCACAAATTGTCCCTTCAGATGTTAGCAGATCCTCAAATGACTGTGCATTTGGGACATGTAATAATAGTAATCATAAGTAAAAACGTTCTGTGTCTCTGGGAGACACAGCATACATCCTTGCTAGGACAGTGTCTGCCTTGGCTTTGTTTTTCCTTTTTTCCCATTGTTTTTTCGCTGCATTCCACTTGTAATGTTTTGGCATGTCTGGGTAAAGGCAGTAATCAGAATTTTCACAGTGCTGTAAGCCTGTAGGCATGTTTCCTTCCTCCTGCATTTGTTCAGCAATTTGTTGATTGACTTTAAACCAAGCTGTTAACATAGTATCTGACGTTTTTGCCAGTGCTAAGGCCAAGGTTTCCTTGCCCTCTTTAAAAAGTACTTGTTGTTGCATTGGCAAATGTACAGGGAGTCGTACTACCATATGTGATTTGTCATGTAAATTGTACTCAAAGATTCTCCACATAGCCTCAGTTGGACCAACGTATCTTGCATTGACATAATTTGTGATCTCATCATAGTTTTGGACTCCATCATTCACTGTGACTGCCAAAATGGTGCAGTCATGGCCTTTATAAACATATTTGTGCAAGTATTTTATAGAAGCTATACTGGAGCACACCTCAACATTAATGTGTGCCTGAAAGTATTTTAATAAGTATGGGTTATAAGGAACCACATATCTGTTGTCTATGTCTACATGTTGTCCTTTAATTTTCTTAACTACTGTCTGTCCACTGTTTCTTCTCTGGTATAGGGGATATCCATTGACATTTGTTTTCGTGTTCTCTTGGAAAGGTTTGGGAAAACCTTTACTGCATTTTCCATCCTTCATGCACACAGCCTGTGGATTAATGTGCCCACATGGATTGTGTATCATGTATTCAGTGACACATCTATGTAGTGATCTTTTTCGGGATCTGGTATTTCAGCAGATATTGCTGCATCTATTTGATGATGTTCACGTAATTTATCTTGGTTACCTAATGTTAGAAGGATGTGTACGTGAGGCAGTCCTCTTTTTTGGAATTCTATGACGTAAAGGTAATTTTTTACCTGTCCAAAAATTTGTACAGTTTTTAGAAGTCTAATAATTTCTTTTACCTTTTCATGGAAAACTCTCACTACAATGTCTGGTCTGTGCTCTGGTTGTTGGTATTCTTTAATATTGTCTTTGATCTCTCTCCATTTTGGATTGCATGTAAATGTGATGAATATGTCTGGTTTTCCAAACTGTCTAACCATTGCCATAGCATCTTGATAAAGCTGCAACATATTCCTTGGGCTTCCTAAGAATGTTGATGGTAGCACGACCATTCTGCCTAGTCTTAAAGAATCATCTTGGGCTTTCATGCTTAAGGCATCCAAGAGACCTGCATAACTTTCAGCACATAGTAATTTGTTTTGATTATGTCTGATGTAGGCTAATCTCTCCCCTTCTATGCGACAGTAGTAGTCTACAGCCAGTTGTTGTGTAAGTTTGCCCAAGTTATGGATAGTAGTAAAGTGGTCTCTCACTGCCCAACAGTGAGATATGAACTGCAGTTGTGTGATCTTGTTCCTAATAGCTGATTTAGAATGTGAGTTGTGTGTTAATTTGCAGTGCCACCCTGGTTCACCAAACAGAAAGGCTAAAACATATGATAAGGGATCACAGTGTTGGCTGTAGGGATCCAAATGCACTGGCTTACCCTGTCTGGGATATATGGTGATACTTCTCCTACTTGGTGGTGCTCCATCAGTGCTTTGGAATACTGCAGCAATTTCTGCCACTTGTGGGTGATTGCAACGTCTAGGATCTTCATTTGGTTCATGGTAAAAATGTAGTGAGTATTCTACTGGTAATCTTCCTTCTGCTGTTGCCCTTTCTTCTTCTGTATGCAATATTTCTTTCATATGTATATATGTTTGTGCATAGCAGTTTATTTGTTTTATTAGCTCTGTTAAGGTGTGCAGTAATTCCACATTAAGGTCTGTATTTTCAGGTCTATTCAGTCTTATTTGAGTTGCCTCAGTTGTATCTATAATGTATAGCTGGCCATATTGTGGCAGCGCTTGATGATCTGGGTAAAGGTTTGTTATGCTATGATAGACAGTTCCCTGAATACAGAAGTGGTAGACTCCGTGGCCTGGTGTGTGATGTATTTGAGCTCCCACAGAAACAAAGGAAAGTGCGCTATTGTATTGGCGAATGTTTTCTAAGAAATGCTTTGAAAGAGGATGCTGGACAGTTAAGAGTTTTTTAAGTAATGGTGGGCAATGTAATGGTAGAATGCTGACTTTTCCATTGTCAAAAAACAGGAAATCACTGTGATCAATGACAATGACACATTTAATAAAATTTTACATTGAAACAAAGTCCAACTATTTATTTACTCAATATTACATTAAAAACAGAGTCCAACTTATTCATTTCCCTCTCATTACTCAATGAGTACACCGGTTTTTACACTCATTTCATGATCTTCCTCAAGAGTAATCCATGAAGTTCTTATGGAGTTGGAAGGTGTTTTCTTCTATGAATTAACAGTTCCATTGCATTTCTTAAGTAGGAGCAAGCCAATAAATTGAATGTCTATTTGTAGCAAACAGTCCATGATTTTGTGTGGCAAAAGCCTACTTTAAAATTGGCTGGCATGTGCTCTCCATTTGACATTATAGCCCAAAAGCTCTCTATGAAGTGAATGCATAGGAGTTGGAAGGTGTTTTCTTAAGCTATCCTGTAAAAAGCACATAGAAAAGGAGTAGAAACATGAGGGAAATGAATAAGTTGGACTCTGTTTTTAATGTAATATTGAGTAAATAAATAGTTGGGCTTTGTTTCAATGTAAAATTTTATTAGATGTGTTATAATTGATAACAATATTACGACACACAGCTTCAGAACAGCTCCGTCTTTACCGCTCTGCGGAACTGGTGGAGATCCCGGAGAGCGCGAGTTTCATATGGGAGCTGGTTCCACCATATTGGTGCAGCCAAGAATGCCCTAGTTCTTGTAGTTGTTAACTTGGTGTCCCTAGGGCCAGGGGGGACTAAGTGGTCCTGCGACTCAGATCTCAGTGCTCTCGAGGGAACATACGGGGAAAGGCGGTCCCGCAGGTAGGCAGGCCCCAGACCATAAAGGGCTTTAAAGGGCATAACCAGCACCTTGAAGCATATCTGGAACGCTATTGGCAGCCAGTGCAGCGCCCTCAGCACCGGTTGGATGTGTTCCCTCATAGGGGCCCCTATCGGCAACCTAGCTGCGGCATTCTGCACCAGCTGCAGCTTCCGAAGTTGCCCCAAGGGCAGCCACATGTAGAGAGCATTGCAGTAATCCAACCTCGAGGTGACCATCACGTGGATCACTGACGCCAGATCATTGCGTTCGAGGAAGGGGACCAACTGCCTAATCAGCCGTAGATGGTAAAAGGCTGCCTTGGCAGTGGCTGCTACCTGGGCCTCCATTGTCAAGGAAGCATCCAGGAGCACTCCCAGACTCCTGACCCTTGGAGCTGGCACCAATGGTGCCCCACTGAAGGCCGGAAGTGGGACCCCTACCCCATACTGCTCCGATTCAGGCATAGGACCTCCGTCTTCGTCTGATTTAGTTTCAGTCAACTCAGTCTAAGCCAGTCCGCTACGTCCTGCAACGCCCAGTCCAGATCTTCCAGGTTAGAGCCAGACTGGCCGCCCAGCAACAGATACAGCTGGATGTCATCTGCATATTGATGACAACCCAACCCATGCCTCCGGGCAATCTGGGCAAGGGGGTGCATATAGATGTTAAACAGCATCGGTGAGAGCACAGCTCCCTGGGGTACTCCACAAACTAGTGGGTGCCTCTGGGACGTACTCTCCCCGAGCACCACCCTTTGTCCCCGACCTTGGAGGAAGGAGACAAGCCATTGCAAGGCGAGCCCCCGAATCCCCACATCGGTGAGGCGGTGGGTGAGCAACCG